TCCCTTCAACTGATTGGCTGCTCACAGCAGATCTCATCAGGGAGGGATTGTGTTTATCAGAACTCATCTTGGAGATGAATAGGTTACATCCAATCTCATCATGGGCGATGACCAGGTCATAACTGCTAAACTGCTGAGAATCACGGCCCAGCCAAGTTGATACACAACCTTAACCATCACGCTGATTTTTCTTTCAACTTTTGGTTGTGATTTGGGTGAAAGTTTACAGAGCCCACTGGTTTTCCGTTCAACAATTCGTACACATTTTGTTTGGTGACAGTGATTGCGGTCCCCACAGTGCACCAGCTCTCTTCCCACCACCCCGTGTCCCCATGTCCATTCAGCCTTCTCTCCTATCCCTTCCCGCCTCCAGAACTTCATCTCTGGGCAAATGCTGCCATTTTGATGTCAAACAGTTGATTGTTCTAATGAGTTTGTATTTCCCTGCTGGTATTGTTCACCTCACCTGCCAGTCTATCATTTGGCTGAGAGCTGAACCACAGGAATGAGTTGAATTTCAGGCTTGAAGGGTGTCTAAGGGCTATAGACTTGGGGGTACTCAGAGCTCTTTCCAACATCCCACTTAGTGGTCCACAGTTTCTTCTCCAAAAGGGCTTTTTTTCCACAATTATGAAGGACCTACTTTTATAAGTTTGGTAAATCAGCTCTCAAATTGTTCCAGGCCCATCCATCCATGAGTGAAAGTTTTGTTTTGATTACATTACACCTTCAAGACCAAAAACTTATTTTTATAACCTATTTCTCTTAATCAAAAACCCATTGGCATTGAGTCGAATTCCACCATACAGTGACCCCATAAGACAGAGTAGAACAGCACCATGGGTTTCCCAAGGTGGCATAGTGTCTAAGGCATCTGACTGCTAACCAGAAGGCTGGCAGTTCAAACCCACCAGTCACTCCTCGGAAGTAAGACTGGATAATCTACTTCCATAGACATATCACCTTGGAAACCCAAGGAGGGGTGGCTATGCGTCAAATTGACTAGACGGTGGTGAGTTTGGTTTTTTTTTTTTTTTTTCTTTAAGCTTCACAGAAGCCAACTGCCAGCTTTCTCCTACAGAGTGGCTGGTAGGTTCAAGCCGCCAACATTTGGTTAACAGGTAAGCACTTGACCACTGTACCACCAGGATGGCTTTCTGTTCCCTTTACATCACTATTTATAATCTTACAAGACACAAGTTTAAATGTTTTTAATTGATTGCTCAAAGTTTTATATCATCATAAAAGACCATCTAGATGAAGAAAACAACCCAAGATCAGAGAACATAAATTACAAAAATCAGAAATGAAAGCTTGCTCCTTAATGTTGATCCCACAAACATCCAAAGGCCAAGACAGTGTTAGACTGTTGTTGTTGTTGTTAAGTGCCATCGAGTCATTTCCTACTCATAGCGACCCCACGCACAGCAGAATGAAACACTGCCCGATCCCGCGCCAGCCCCACAATCCCTGCTATACTTGAGCCCATCATCACAGCCACCGTGTCAATCCATCTTGTTGAAGGCCTCCCCCTCTTTCGTCAACCCTCCACCCTACCAAGCATGACATCCTTCTCCAGGGAATGGTCCCTTCTTACAACATGACCAAAATAGGTGAGACGAAGTCTGGCCATTCTTACTTCCAAGGAGCATTCTGGCTGCACTTCCTCCAGGACAGATCTGTTAGTTCTTTTCGCAGTCCATGGTACTTTCAGCATTCTCCGCCAGCACCACAACTCAAAAGCATCAACTCTTCTTCGGTCTTCCTTATTCATTGTCCAAGTGTTCGACTACTTCGTAACAATTAATTTGACAACTTAGATGAAATGGCCAATATTATAAAAATTAGAAAGTTCTAAGATAGGACTGGATGAAATAGAAATTTGAATACAGGCCAAACCAAAACCAAAGCAAACTCACTGCCATTGAGTCAATTCCAACTCACAGTGACCCCCATTGGGTTTCCGAGGCGGTAAATCTCCACCGAAGTAGATTGCCGAGTCTTCCTTCCACAGAGTGGCTGGTGGGTTTGAACCACCAACCTTCTGGTTAGCAGTCAGATGCCTTAGGCACTGCGCTATCGGAGTTCCTTTACTGCCTGAAGACAGGCATTCCTCATTTTAGTGCACTTTGCAGACACTGTTCTACAGGCTGAAGGTTTGTGGCAGCCATGCACGGGGCGAGTCTGTCGCTGTCATTTGTCCAGCAGCCTGTGCTCACTTTATGTCTCTGTGTCACATTTTGGTCATCCTCATGAGATTTTAAATGTTTTCACAATGCTACTTGCAAAAGCACATGGGGGTGGTGTCCTCTGACCTCTAACCTCACAAGGGGGAGACAGAATCCCCATCAGCCCCAGGCCGATCCCTAGAGAGCAAGGTCAGCCATGCCACCCCCTCCAACCTTTATACCAATTCTGACTCCAACCATCGTCCCATAGCACTCTCTACTTATCTGCTGGGTTCCATAATTCGTTTTGCAAAGGCCACACAGAACTCACAGACCATACTCATGGGGAAGGGGAAGTTGTTTACTGGGGAAGTTGTTGTTGTTGCTAGGTGCTGTCGACTTGGCTCTGACTCCTGGCGACCCTGTCTGTGTACAACAGCACGAAACACTGCCTGGTCCTGGGCCAGCCCCACCGTCCTCATTATACCTGAGCCCATGGATGCAGCCACTGTCTCTGTATACCTTGTTGAAAGCCTTCTACTGGGGAAGTAACAGGTCACAATTCAGGTTTAGGAAGGTTCAGAATACAATTATTCAATCGGGACAACTTCCCATCGGCCATGTCCCCAGGTACGCCTCTTGGCCTGGGCTCTGTCCTGCTCAAGCAACTGTTGTTACAAAACTCTCTTAGCTCTGCCAATAGGGACACCCCACTCTGCCACCAAGTGTCTGACCCAAAGGCACTCAGCTTTTCTACCCATGGTCCGGCAAGCCTACCTTCCATCTCTTGCGGGTCTCTTGGTTCTGCTGCCTCAACCACTGCCACCTCTCTTCCATGGTCTCATCTCAGGGGGTCTCAGGTCCAAGGACCTGCCCCCCTTCAGGTTCTTCTCCCTCTTGACAGCAGTGAGAGCCCCCTTCCTGCATCTGGGATGGGTCATTTTAAGCCCAGCAAGATGACAAAACTGACCAACCCTCATACTAGAGTTCCAAACACCCATCTTGCACAGTCCCACTCCTACAAGGGTGATACACACCTTATTTACATGATCAGAAAGCTATCCAATCCCTTTAGTGGGCCCCAAGCATCTTATACTTACATAGTCATCTGATAGGGTTCACAAAGACTGTGGCTAGAAGAACCACACCAAGTAAGTCAGTGCATCACACTACTGCACACTTGGTACAGTGTCAGCATAACTTTCTATGCATCGGGAAACCAAAAAACCCACGTGACTTGCTTCACTGCTGTATTTGCTTTATTGGGCTGGTCTGGAACTGAACCCACAATCTCTGAGGTATGCCAGGAGTTCTATTTTTGGAAGAGGATTAGATGACTCTAGGGTTTGATGGAAGAGGATTGGGTGACACTTAGATGATTAATTTAAATTGTCTGTCATTTGTTTGTCTATAGTAGTTCACGGTCATGGTCATCATTTGATGGTGTTTGATGGAAAGTTACCATTTCAAATCTAAAGAAAAGGTACATCCCCAATCTCTTTCTCTTAAGGCAAACAAAACCATGCATGTAACTACACTTCGTGAGCACTGTTTTATTCCAGAGCCTTTCACGTTGCAGTTTTCAACGAATCTGAAGCTATAGTGTTTCAAGTATAGATATACATTTCACCTGGTGCTCCAGTTTCGTGATCTTAGAGACCAGGTCCCCGGCTGTCCACATTCAAGGTCATGTCCACTGTGTAAAGGCAAATATGTACCTCAGACAATGTCAGGGCAATAGGCCCACTCCTAACCTCATGCGTATTTGAAATCTGTATTTTCAGGATTTTAATTTACTGCATAACATTTACAATGTTCTCACATTTCTGAGAACGTTCTCACATTTCTGAGAACGTTCTTGTGCCTATGGTTTCCTGGACCCTTGCATACAGAGGGTTGGTCCCTCACGTGTACTCCATTCATTTCCTTTAATCCAATCATCAGCAGAGCTTACATTCCCCTTGGTACCACCAGGGGGTCTCAGTTGTGCAAAGGACCAACCCCAGTGGTTCGATTTGACTTTGTCCTCTCCCACCCTCCAGTCTCTGGTTGACAAAAACAGGTAAGCAAGGTGGCCATCTGCTTACACAAGGTCACCGTCACGAAAAGCTTATGAAATAGTTCTACTCAGAAACACATGGCTTTGCCAAGAGTCGGAGTCAACTGCAGGGCAAAGGGAAAAGATCTCCCCAAGTACCTTCATGCATGTGTGTGTGCGTGTGTGCATGTGTGCATGCATGCTCTGGCACCCAACTCCCCAAATACCTTCATGCATGCAATGGCACCCAACACCCACACACACCCTCTCCTGTGAATAAAAGGTGTCATTTCCCAAATATTTAGAAAATCACATCAGTTAGGTCACTCCAGATATTTATTTAATTCACATCTCTTTAACATACTAGGTGAATTTAAAGAAAGAAAAATTCATCACAGGACAGATACTCAGGGACGTCTGACCACCATCAGTTGGAATTGAAGGGGCAAAAAATGGGCGCAGAGTCTCTGAAGCAGAAATCTTGGTGAACGTGTAGATATGGGCCCCATCACTCATGTTGAAGAAGGACAGGCTTGCCATGCCCAGATCGAGGAAAATGCCCACTCGGCGTAAGTTGAGGCCCACACAGAGTGGCAAGGCCGGTGTGGTGCTGGCAACGAAGTCGCCTCTCTTTCTTGAGCTCACTGTCCAGTAGCCATGTTCTGTAGACAGCTGAATCTTCCCTTGCCGAATAACGGATTCTCTGCACACACCCAGATCCCATTCTTGGCTTCCTTCCACGTCCACCTCCCAGTAATGGCGGCCGGAGGTGAACCGACTCGAGCCCAGGACACACAAGGCTTGGTCAAATCTCTCCATGCACTCTGTCACCACCTGCTGCTCAAAACGCCTGCAGTAGACTGTCCTCAGGTCAGAAGAAATGGTGAGGAAGTTGTTGGCTGTGTCTACGTCAAAGGTCATGTCCACTGTGGAAGGGAAAATAAGGATCTCAGACAAGGCAAAGGCACCAGGCTCACTCCTAACTTCTGCTGCAAAGGAAATTCTCCCATC